AAAATTTTAAAAACTAGTACATAGTTCAACCCTTACCTGTGCCTTTATTATAACTTCTTTGTATATTGAATTTGGAATTTGTCCTGCTGGATTGTCAGTCAATTGTGACCTTGTCAAGAATTAAACTACATACTAGTCTTTTAAAAATAAAAATTTGTATTTTCTTCTTGAGTATTTCAACTGTAGGATTACCATCTCAAGAATAAAAAGGCAAAGATCCCAGAAAACCCATTCAACTCTATAACAGTTATATTTTGGCATTCTATGTAAGTTATATTTGAGCATCTCAAGGCTACAATAAAAAGATGTTAGGGGGTCAGGGTCAGTTCCAACGATGCCAGGCTGGCATCCCACTAGCTGTAAGTTTAAAGTTAGGTCTTCAAACTGAACAACCTGTTGTCCTTTCTTCTCTGATGCATTAACCAGCTCTATACGCCAACGGAAAGTTAGGTAGATGCAGTCTGACTTTGAAGGAAACACTCAAAATTAGTCACCTCCTTCGACATGTATGCTAGATGGTAATGAGACTTTGTTTCCCAAAATGGAGCTTCGGGACCCACATGGGGACGTACACCTGTGGTCCAATATTGGTAAGTACATGCAGAAGTATAAGTATCCCACTGAAGGATGGGTGACTGAACATGTCTGATGGACTTATTTATAACCCGACAGTTCTCCTTAGATCTCATCTCAGTAATCCAATAAACTTCCTGAATGTCCATCCAGCAGGACAAATCCCCATTCTTACATTATATTTCAAATTAGGCCAGCCATAATGGTTACACTAACTGCAGCCATAATCGTTACACTAACTGCTACCCTGATTTCCTAGGCAGGTAAAGACCTATTTATATAATTGAAAAATTTCCTTTTGTTAATCCTGAAGGGGATCCTATCATCAAGGAAACAAACAGATGAAAAAGGTTAAAGGTTACAGTTGAGAGGATCAACTTCATTGACCCTAGTTTTATCTCATATGGATTGGCCCCTCTTTGCAGAGCTCCAGCGACTATTCCTAGGGATCTAAAAAACTGCACTCGTTAACTGAGCGGCACCAGTGTGAAATGAACCCACGTCCTTCAGAGCATGAGGCAAACGGCTTGACCATTCTTGTAATGACCCTGCTTTGCATGGTCTCCACGGTCACAGCAGAAAATCTGTGCAATGAATGATGGCACAGGTCCTTGGGGCTGAAGAGGTAAAGGAGACAAAGCCTGAGGTTGGTTCGTGATCAGTTGGGACCCAGAGCTTGAAAAAGATAGTTGTAGATAGTAGATACTGCAGTGCATTATAAGTGCTGTGTAAGTGATTGTAGGATTACTGTGGAAGTGAGTAGCGATGACTGTGACTGAAAGAAAAGGAACTAAAGGAATAAACTGGCAGAATATATGTTGGAAACTGAGTGCTGTCTGGTGTTATTCAGTGTAGAAAGCTGTATCTGTTTCCTAGTGAGCCAATATTACTACAAGGAGAAATGAGCTTTATCCCAACTTCACCACAGAGACCCCCTAATAAGCAGCAATACTTTATAATTTTTTTCAACCCTGTATTACTAGTTAAAAAGTGTGCTGCATTTTCTTTAGAGGTACTGCACATTTTTTACAGGACATTGCAAACCAACCACAACTGTTAACACTTGGTAATTTTACCTAACGAGGCAATTTTACATTCAGTAATTTGCTACTGCTTTCTGAACCACAGTTCATACTGTTGTCAAAATCAATGCCAAGCTGTCTGCTGGCGCCCAGCTGAATTCAAACCCTGGTCTGTTGAAATTATGAATCCAAATCAAGACATGTTTAAAAAAAAATTGAAATTAGTTCCCAGATCAACCCAGCCTACAATAGATATTAGGTAATTTATGGGATATAAAGGCGGCCAGCAGCATTAATAGAACAAAAGGCTCTTTTTTTTTTAACAACAAACTGTTCGATGATAGAGGCTAAAAATGCTAACTAGATCCTATAATATTATTAAAATGATCCAAAATGCAAAGTGGAGGAACTGACGGCAACCGGTTATTAAATGAAAATTTCAGTTATTGTGTCATCTTAGTAGTATTTTTCTTTGAATTTTTTTTCTCTAATCATAATATTTTATTCAATTTGTCTTTTCTATCATCATTTATTTCTATTAAAAATTACTTTTGTGGTTCTACGATAAAATTAAGAGCAAACATGTATGTTTTTCTAAACTATATTTATAAGAAAAAAAAGTATTTCTTTTAATTCTTTCTCTAACCATAATATACTATTCAATTTGTCTTTTCTAGCATCATTTATTTCTATTACAAACTGCTTTTGTTGTTCTACGATAAAATTAAGAGTAAACATGTATGTTTTTCTAAACTATATTTATAGGTAACAAAAATAAAAATTATACTTTCTTATTCTTCAGCAGCCAACATTTGGGTGCTATGTATCTATTTGATTTGGTGACAAGAGGATGATGCATTCAGCCAGCATTTGTGTGCTATGTATCTATTTGATGTGGTGTCAAGAGGATGGTGCATTCGAGGTCCATACCACATCTTATATGGTCCCTCCTCTAGGCCAGATTTATGTTCTTTGACTGACAGCCTTGGCAATCTTGTAACAGATACTCAGGAGCTGGTGCACCACACCTGCATATCACAGAGTCAGTGAGACTCTTATGGTGTAGGTGTGTTCGGAGTTTACAGTATTATGTTCTGAGTAGAAATGTTAGTCTGTACATTTCTGACAAGCCTAGTTGTTCTGTCACAACCATTCATCTTTGCCTTGTCTCCAGTTTACCTCCATAGATTATTTTTGGAGTGGCTGTGGCTTAAGGAAATGAGCCTTCTTAACCCATGAATGCTAAAGCCAAATATTTAAAAAAAAAAGTTACATCGTCCATAAACCTGTAGGAATTTCTGTGAAAATCTTTTAATAAAAGATACAAACATATCATAGAAGTGAGTAATAATTTTTAACCATCATTTATCCATATAAAGTACATGTCCCTTTACACACCAATGGCATGTCAGGTTTATGAGGGTAGATTCCTATTTTTAGACAAAACGTCCCTCGATGTATGATGTGGTCATTGCCATGTCAACTGCCTTTACTTCCCATTACTTTAACTGGTACCCATTCTGGGTTGACTCTAGAGCCAAGGTCATGTTGAAAAAAAAAAACTAGCAACATGTGCAGTTGAATCCACGATCTTAAAATTTGCATCTGCATGAAAACTTATAAAGGCCTAATCAATAATCACAAACACAGCATTAAATGAAGTACATTCATGTGGCATTAAAATACAAAAAAGGTATCAGGTGACTCATGCTGTGACCTATATCATTGAGGCTTACGAGAAAATTTGACATCATCTTATCTTTCAAAAAGCCATTAGGGACATAAGGAAACCCCTCAAAATCCACTTTTTAAATACGAATACTAAACACAGTGCAGGCGCACACATGACCAATGTAATTTAACTACACCTTTTAAGAACAGGTTGTTGCAGACATGACATATATCAGCATTGATGAGGATGTAGCACAATCTGAAGTGACTAGAAATAGTCTGCTCAGGGCAACAGGGTTACAATTCAATAAGCTTCCTTAAACTTGGTCTGGTGTTCTATGATACCAGACTACAAACACTCATCAAATGATTTCTCCACAATAAAGGTTGGCTGTAGTGGATCTCCAACATCCTCAGTCTTTTACCCTAGTCATACTATGTCTGACACTGCTGTTCATCTATCTCATGATGTTATCCTCCCATTTGTATCACTGACAACCTCTTACCCACTGGTAATCAACTTTTCCTTCCAGTATAGATTTTATAATAACACTTATCTGCTATTGTGGCTGAAATATGTCTCTTTGATTTTGTTTTTCTAATAAACACTGCTGGGGTAATACCCATGCAACTGGGCAGTGGTGTAAACCCTTACAATCTCTAATACTGCTTGCTGATGCTTTGCGCAGATTATGTTGAGTTGAGTCAAGAACTGACATCACAGCACTCGGGGCATTCTCATGCATGCTCTGTCCTCATCTTCAGCAGCCAGCGCAGAGTTCCAATACTGATGGTACCGGTCACATTCTGGTTATATGTCCATCTTGCTTTTCCTCTGAGTGTAGTGAGTCAGCCAGACCCTGTGGTTACACTTAGGTGCCTCATTCTCTCCATACCATAATAATCTTCTTTCTCAACTTATTCCTTTGCTTGTTCCCAAAGGGCCTTGACCACATCTGCCTTGTCATGTATCAATTTACCACCCAGTGGTGCAGATTTAGCCAACCTGTCTATGATTTTTGCCTTTTCGGCCTCTGACACTTACCTGCAGCCAAAGCTTCATACAGAGGGTGTACCCTCTCTGTAGCTACTCTGAGGTATGACTTAGCCTTATACACATTATGTGAGAAGATAACCGTGGATGGTGAAGGTTCACCATCTCACATGACTGACAGTCTCACCTCAGTTTATATGCACATCAATTATATCATCTAGTGCAAAGATTGAGGTATTTATCTCCTTGTTCCCCCCCCCCCCCCCCCCTCTCATTCTCCGACCCACAAACCATTACCCATATTCAAAGGTATGGTATGCCATGCTCACATTCAGACAGTCTAATTATAACTTCTCTAACCAATTTGTGGTTTTCTCTGCTTCTTGAAGGACTGCCTCATTCACTTTTCTACTCAACCACATAACTGTTTACATTTTCCGTTAGGACCATGTTTCTAATGCCATGAGATGTTCTTTTACTTTCTACTGACAAACACAAAATGCCCTGCCTCTCAAACTTGCTTGTCTGTCATGGCCAGATTTTCAACAAAAACTTCCCTAACACTCAAAAGCTAGAAGCAAAACACCCAGCATAAAATACACAATCTCACAGGAAGTCTCAAATACGGGCATTGAGTTCACATTCCATTAAGCACTCCGTTATCAAAATCCTGGCTTTCCTAAACACTTCAATGCTAGAAGCAAACACCCAGCATAACATACATATTTTAACAGGCAGTCTCAAGTACGGGCACTGCGTTCACATTCCATTAGACACTCCCTAACCAAAATCCTGGCGTGCACTATACTCCTCTTAAGCCTTTCTGTGGAGCCCCTGTTGCCAGCATAGGTTGGCCTGATATCTCTGCCCATGTCCTCTATAACAGCTAGGAGGGATGCATATTTACTCTGATGGTGATGCATCTGTGCAATAGCTGATGGAGCAGGAGGTGCTTGTGAGAGAGAAGACCTTCCTGGATTCGAATGTGAAACATGAGAAGGTAGTGGCTGCCCCTGATTCGGTGGGGGTGTGGCTCGAGCTAAAGGAGGTGTAGATCTGTGCAGAGGAGGAGTTGTCCTGGAAAGGGGAGGCGTAGCTCGCACATCTAGTAATACCTCTGACCGTGGAGTGCCAGGATTGCTGATAACTGGTGTCACTGGAGAACTGCTGGGATGTGAGTCCGCCATACTTGTGTCTTCGTCTGCCATAGTTCTTCTGACCAAAATCTAAAATTTAATAAATAAACAAAAACTATGTATTGATAGAAAACTCTTGCAACAATTAGAGAGGTGGAAATCTGAAGAGACAATTAATAAACTCATATACCAAATTTTTTCACTGATAAAAAAACAAGTGAGTGACGCCTGTGGTATAGGAATAGAACACACAATGAATACAGTCAGCACAATTCCTGGATTCAATCTTCTGCATGTTTTCTTGCTTTATCCCACTGAACCAGTCACTTTGTTTTCCTACAGATTTCCATTGAGTTGATTTGAGTCAAGAATTGACATCACAGCACTCTAAGCATTCTCATGCATGCTGCGTCCTCATCTTCAGCAGACAGCGCAGAATTACAATACTGATGGTACCGGTCACAATCTGGTTATATGTTCATCTTGCCTTTCCTCTGAGCCGGCCACACTCTCTAGACACACCCAGATGCTTTGTGTTCTTTCTAAAACAAATAACCCAATTACTTATAGTATTATGCCACTTTCCTGTTTCTGCAACCCACAAATATCTTTTTTTTTTTCTATTGCCAATGGTTAATTGTTTAAATTATTACAATCTGAAAAACTGTACCATAAACAAATATGACACCTTTCCGTCTTTCCAGACAATAATGTTATACTGTGCTATGAGGTCTCACTTCATGATGATGGCCAGTGTGAATAGCAAGACACGCCGGCATTGAGAAAAGTCTTCCACCCAGCGTTGAGACAAGTCTTCCACCCAGCATTGAGACAGGTCTTCCACCCAGCGTTGAGAAAGGTCTTCCACAATTATAGCAAGGGATTTCAGGACCACTGCTGTCAACATTTTTGTTTCGTGTGTTTCTTCTCAGACTCTCAGCTCTTATCCTTTCAGCAATCAGTTTTTTCCTTCATTCTCATTTCTTTCTTGATTTGCCCCCTCCACACAACATGGTCCATGGCATTTTGTTCCTATGAATCCATCTCAATACCTGTATCATTCATGTCCCACTTATTAACAAAGATGACTATGGATAAATTAAATAGAAGCAAATTACTACTTCTTTTGCATTCACCCTTAAAAAGTATACTGGCGATATCTGCACCTTTCAACACAGCGAATCTGATTTCAACAAACTTCTAGGCAGTTGAAGTTTACGACACTACTTAAAGGGAGCAGTGGGAATTCCCCCCCCCCCCTTTTTGCTCAAGCAAAGTGTAAAAACAAGACTGTGTTATGACAGAAACTGAAACGAAGTGTAAAAACAAGACTGTGTTATGACAGAAACTGAAACAAAGTGTAAAAACAAGACTTTGTTATGACAGACGCTCAAACAAAGTGTAAAAACAAGACTGTGTTATGACAGACACTGAAACGAAGTGTAAAAACAAGACTGTGTTATGACAGAAACTGAAACAAAGTGTAAAAACAAGACTTTGTTATAACAGACACTGAAACAAAGTGTAAAAACAAGACTGTGTTATGACAGATAGTGAAACCAAAAAAACTATAATAAAGTGAAAAATTTAAAAAAAAAGGATCATTCTGAGGAGTGATAAATGTATTCTGCTGGACAGATATTTCTTTATGTGAAATCTATCTGTGGATCAATTTATATCAAGGATTCTTTGTAGGCCTATCATTATGTGTCCTGTTTTTTATCACAGAGAACCACAACAGCGAAGTGGCAAGAATTTTGCCTGCCAGCCCAAAGGTCTGCAATTCCAATCCTTAGTGACAAAGTATTTTTTAAAGAGACCTTTGTTCCCAGGTTGATACAGCCTAAAATATATGCTACAGAATGTCCTAAAATGTAATATTAATTTTAAACCCATGACGCAGGCCACATCGCCCAACAAATAACAAAACTACAAAATATAAATTTAGTTTCGTAAAAGATGTGCCAGTAGTGATTTAAAAAAAAAAAAAGTCTTTCACTATGTTAGAAGACTTGAATTACGCGCTTCTGGTGGCCACGCTGGCCATCCAGTTTAGCCCCGCTCCGTACCGCGCGTAGTGGCATGGCAGATACTGTTGGCAATGGGGGTAGTCGCCAGACGTCCGAAATTAACATGTGACTGAGGCCCTGTTAGGGTATATTTTCGGCCTTGATAATTTGGGACCGTTATAGTTATTCTGAGGATAGCCGTGTCTTCCTTCTTTTTAATTACATCATTTAGATTACTCATTTTAACTCAACAATAAATTTTCAGCATTTTTTTTAACCATAAAATTAGAGCCGCAAACCCCCAGAGATCAGTCCCAGTAGAGAAAAAAACTGAAATTACTGAGGCTTCGAAAAAAAAACCTGGATTAGAGGTCGAAAATAAAGTGGAAACGCTCTGCAAAATCTTGGACTATCTTTCTAATAACGGTCCCAAATAAGACCAAGTCCGTTTACAAATATGAATTATATTAACAATCATAATTCAACACAAAAGAGAGATGAGATGGGAGATGGATGGATGGACAGAGAAGTGGGACAAAAAGTGAAAAGGCCGATTTTATTGATTAATTAATTATTGTGTTTGTCTTTGTGGTTATCCAGATACGCAAGCAATATAGGCTTTAAAAAAGGTATTTATTGAAAAAGTGTAATATACACCTTTTATCATAAATATAGGCATGGCTTTGCATGTGAAATATATATTTTTTATAAATGTTTAAACAGTAACTTGCCTCGATCGCCGGTCTGTTTATCGCGTCCTGGAGAAGAAAGGAAGAGTTACTGTTTACTGACAGGTTTTTTAAAAACTGGAATCGAAATTGGAAGTGTGTCATGGATTCTTGTATTCCATCCGTCATCATCATCATCATCATCATCATCTTCTTCTTCTTCTTCTTCTTCTTCTTCTTCTTCTTCTTCTTCTTCTTCTTCTTCTTCTTCTTCTTCTTTTGCTTCAAATCCACAATAAATGTTGTTGGTCATTATGTATGTCTACATCCTTGAGTAACGCACCCATCCTTTTATATGGATGTTCGCCATGTCATGACACTAGCCTGTTAACATTGTCCTTTTCTTTTCCTCATTCCATTAAGGTTCCGTCTTATAATAACTGTTATGAGATTAATCAACAGACGTGCGTATAGCTAGAGGGTTTTGTTTTTCCTGTGGAATTACATATTACACACACACAATAATAATAATAATAAATAGGCGTCTATTAATATGGACCCATTTACCAAATCGAACGCATCCTGTTTTTTGTCCATCGAAGTGTGATCCGCCCCCCCCCCTTTCTCCTCTCTCTCTCTCTCTCTCTCTCTCTCTCTCTCTCTCTCTCTCTCTCTCTCTCTCGCTGGCTCTATCTATCTATCTATCTATCTATCTATCTATCTATCTATCTATCTATCTATCTATCTATCTATCTATCTATCTATCTATCTATCTATCTATCTATCTATCTATCTATCTATCTATCTATCTATCTATCTATCTATCTATCTATCTATCTATCTATCTATCTATCTATCTATCTATCTATCTATCTATCTGTCTATCTGTCTGTCTATCTGTCTGTCTATCTGTCTGTCTGTCTGCCTGTCTGTCTGCCTGCCTGTCCGTCTGTCTGTCCGTCTGTCTGTCCGTCTGTCTGTCTGTCAGTCTGTCCGTCTATCTATCTATCTATCTATCTATCTATCTATCTATCTATCTATCTATCTATCTATCTATCTATCTATCTATCTATCTATCTATCTATCTATCTATCTATCTATCTATCTATCTATCTATCTATCTATCTATCTATCTATCTATCTATCTATCTATCTATCTATCTATCTATCTATCTATCTATCTATCTATCTATCTATCTATCTATCTATCTATCTATCTATCTATCTATCTATCTATCTATCTATCTATCTATCTATCTATCTATCTATCTATCTATCTATCTATCTATCTATCTATCTATCTATCTATCTAATCTATCTATCTATCTATCTATCTATCTATCTATCTATCTATCTATCTATCTATCTATCTATCTATCTATCTATCTATCTATCTATCTATCTATCTATCTATCTATCTATCTATCTATCTATCTATCTATCTATCTATCTATCTATCTATCTATCTATCTATCTATCTATCTATCTATCTATCTATCTATCTATCTATCTATCTATCTATCTATCTATCTATCTATCTGTCTAATTGTCTGTATGTCTGTTTGTAAGTATTTGTTTATATGCTTTTGTGTTTATTTGGGGGAGGGAGGCAGGGGTGTTCATTGCATGCCTATTGTTTTTATGCATGGCACAAGTTAGTGAAACCCTGATTGAACGTCTACCACTATAAACGATATATATGTACCACCTTCAGCTCTGAAACAAAGCAGAGGGTTCAAACTCTGCCCAGTCGCTCTTCGCTAATGGTATCTGTCTTCCACAGCAGTATGTTTCTAAAGTCGTGCTCTCAAATTTTAACAAATGTCACAAAAACTCCTGCACAGATTAACTTGAATTTGTGTATTTAATCTTAGATTTCCCATGTCTTTGGCTGGCTGGCTGGCTTTCTACCCCACTAGGACATCAAACAATCGATAAACACACGATGACAAAATGTGCCACCATGTGGGTGAGGATCACCCGTGGAGAGGTCACAGAAACCGCGTTCAGCCTTTAGGCCATATTTATGGCCAGGCTATATTGCGGCCCCTGGCAAAAGCCAGAGTAGGGGGCTTCAAATGACGAAAAATTTCATCCTAAAAATGACGAGGAGTATGATTCTTCTCCCATGTCTTTATGATTTTATAATCAACGAGTTTTTGTCGGAAGTATAATTTGTGTACCCCTACAAAATAGAATTTACAGTAATTGACACTAATCTTTCACTGTAAGCCACATGAGTGGATTTTCTTTTTGGAAATCAGCGAGCATGGTGATTATTTTAATAGCCCGTCCTGATTACAATGAAATTTTAAGTTCATGTAACTCAAGAGAGGGTAGTGCAGGAGATTTACTATATGAGTTAAAACTTAAAGACATCAGAATTGTGGCCAGT